TGATTTCTGATGCAAAATATTGTCTTTCTTGGCCCTATGTTATGCACCAACAGAATGACAATTGCTGGCCACATACTGGACTCTTGGAAATAGAGGCTGTCACAGACTTTGAGCCTGTTACTCTCTTTACCCACCTACCAATTATGCCTTAGATCATGGAAACAGCACCTCAGAAGCTCAGCACAGCTACCAAGGCCTCCTTGATATAGGATGGAGCAAAATCATGTGGTCTCTGACATAGTCTACCAGTTGAAAGGGGTGGCCTCTCCTGTTCTCAGTTCCTTGCCAGATGCCATGGTACTGGAGGAGGTCACTCCTCCCCTAGGCCTCTTGTCTACCTGGTGATTCCCTTGGGTTTAACTGAGTGAACAGCAATAGAAGTTCACAACTGATGGAGCTCAGTGGAATGTTTCTTCTTTTCATTACTTAATCAAGTTATTTCCCTTAAAGGATGGAGCCCAACCATCAGCACAATTGGCCAAAAAATCAGGCAATCACCTTAACACTGGATACCCCGGCTGACAAATAGCTCCATCTACACATTTTTATAAACTCTTGGGACATAGCTAAGAATTATCTTCTTCAAGGTGAAAATCATAGGAATTTGTCTTGCCCCACAGATACCCAAAATATAAATCAAGGTCACCCATGTCTCTACATATACTAAGGTCACAATACAAAACCTCACCAGGATACTGCTTCTCTTCTTCAGAGTTCCAGACGCTAATGATGACCCAAAGTATACATTTCACTTCTCAGTATACACAATGCTGGGCTCTTGAGGAAGACATTCAGTGGAACTTCCATCTCCTTGACAAGTCCCAGGCAGTCAATGTACTTGAGAGACTTAATGGTATCCTCAAGCAACTCATATTTAAGTTATAAAATAACATATAGTTCCTTAAATGGGTTTCCTTCTTGCTCCAGGCCTTAATTTTTCCTAATTCAAAACTTCTTGGCTGACTTATATTTCACACCAATTTTAAGAAGCCTTCCCCTTGCCCCTTTCTATATTTAAAGAGGGATATATCTCACCTCTACAGATATAAAAACTCATTATCTATGAGGCCCTTTATAATGACTCCCCCTACTTTGTTAGATGATTGATTTTGCCCCCATATTCATAAGAGCTTGAGCCCAGATCATGGGTTTCATAAAATAACACTCCCCGGGGCTTATCAGTGTGCCAAAAACATCCCTCAGTTGTGGATGGAAGCCCAAATCAAAGCCAACAAAAAGCTGGCAGGGCTTCTGCTCCCTATGTTTCTGATGACCCTAAAAATGTACAGAAGATTTGCAGCACTAGCAGCTGCAGAGCCAAGTGAAACAACCTGGTTCAGGCTACTCAAATATACTATAAGGCCATGTCCCCAAATACCCTAATATACCCCCAATGGATAGCTGTTTGGAAAAGCTATCCTCTTCCAGCATGGCCCCCACACCACCTCTGATATGACCACCTCAGATGACCTCTCCCCAGCCCAAGAATTCATCAGAAAAGATGACATCACCATGAATGTCCTCATTATTTGTGATTCCAGTCATCTAGGACTTAGACGATACACTGGACACCTCCTCAGAACCTCTCCCATACCTGGCGAGCAGTCTCACCATCCATACTGCCCACAGCTGACCCAATTGAGCAAGAATCAACACCCCTAAACCCAGAAATGCTAGATCTATTTTCCTGACTGTCTGCCACAAAATGGGGTTCATGGCTACAAACTAGGTTTCGATCTGTGTTGATGATGATAGAAATATATCTAAACACTATCTTATTTGAGTATTGTCCTAAATGGTTATTTCAGTGCCTTTACTTTGAACACGTCTACCAACCAAGTGACTACTGTCTTAAAATCAGATTAATGATATTGAGGCATCACATGGTCAGTTGTCAAAAGGTGAATTTGTGGCCTACGTACTTTGCTTCTTTCACTCAGTTTTTGACATGGCCATTCCCATTTTATCACACAGCCTCTCAACAGTGATGGTATCTAACAGGTCTTCCTTGGCATGCCCCACATTATTTCCTGATAGGAACCTGTTACTATCTTATAATCTAGTCTCTCAACAGATGTATTTACTCCTTGTCCCTCCCAGCATGTCCCATATGGGTACCCATGATGAAAACATCTCATATTCCTTAGTTAATGCACTAGAAATCTTCACACTGACCAATAGGACTTTAGCATGTGCTACTCCTGAGATCCAATACTGCTTGCCATATAAAAGCCCTCTCCTACATTTCCAGTTTATTGTCCTGTCTCAGGTACAACCCTTTGTATGGCTCTGCATTGAGGCATGTTTTAGTTTTCTCTCTGGGACCTGTGAATACTAAATTCTATTTGTTTTCTGGCTTTCCTGCCCAAGTCTTACTTCCTCATGCCGTATCTGACAGATCATCCATGAACCCATGGATTCCTTTGGGTCAAAATTAAAACAAAAGGGGAATCAAACATAAAATGGACCAAACTCTGGATCCACTGGATGTCCATTCCAGATTTCTTCTTGTATCAAATAGACATTAGCAAGACTTGGAAAGCTTCCAAAGCAAAGTTACAGCCAACATCTTTCCTGACACTGACCTACTCTTGCCAGCAATTGGGCCTCCATCTGGGTCAAACAAGATTTCACAACTTATTCTCAGAATTGCACAGACATCTGGCAAGCAGAAAACCATCCTGACTATGCTGATGGAGCCTAATCATTATTCTTTTAAATACACTTTGCTTTTTCTGATTATAAGATGTTGTTGTTGTTATTGTTATGTGCTGTCAAGTCAGACCCAGTTCACAGCAACCCCTCCTTGGATTTCTGAGGCAGTATCACTATGGAAGTAGATTGCCCAAACTTCCTTCCCAGGAGTGGCTGAAGGGTTTGAACTGCCAGCCTTCTGGTTAGCAGTCAAATGCCTTAGGGTCTATGCTACCAGAGCTCCTTGTTGTTGTTGTTGTTATGTGCCATCGAGTTGGGCCCGACTCATAGCAACCCCTTCTTGGGTTTCCGAGGCGGTATCACTATGGAAGTAGATTGCCCAACCTTCCTTCTGAGGAGTGGCTGGTGGGTTTGAACCACCAGCCTTCTGCTTAGCAGTCAAGTGCCTTAGGCACTATGCTACCAGAGCTCCTTGAGTATCTACTAATTGCATGGAAGAAAGCCCTGTTAATCTGCTTCCATAAAGATCACAGCCAAGAAAACCCTATAGAGCAGTTCTACTCTAACATGTGAGGTTGCTATGAGTTGGAAGGAAAAATGGCAATGGTTTTTTAAAATCTACTAATTAAAAAAAAAAAAATTACTTGATCAATATGGAAAAACTTAAAGAATAAAGTGATCATCAAGTTATTTAACCTAGAGGTAGCCATTGCTGGCACTTGTGTGACTCTATTTCTCTCTCTGTATGTGAGTGTGCATATGTATAAACACAGTCAAAGAGCCTGCATTGTATACCATGGTCTGAGCATTTTCCCAGTGTTATCCAATATCTTTGAAAGTATTATTTTAATACTCTTCATCATAAGAATCTATAAAAATTGATTCATCAAATTCTTATCATTAGATTAAATTGCCTCTAATATTATGCTATCATAAATGATATAACAAGTGATATTTTGGGACAAAATTATTCATGTGCATCTCCTCTTATGATTCTGCATCTTAAGGACATAGATTATGAACATCTTTGAAGCTATGGACATGTGATGTTACATTTATGTGCAGAAAGAGTACAAAGCTTTGAATAATGACATATAAGAATGATACATGTGTTTGTAAAGTCATGAATGCTTCCAGTTAGTAATAGCTGCAAAATTGACAATATTTTTAGGCTAAAAATTGTTCTTAAAATAAATAAATGCATACACCCTCAAAGAGAGTTTGATTAGTGTACACATACCAGATTAAACATGTTTATATTTGGGGTTGTAAATTCTCTTTGTCAATGTAGCTGTGTTTACCTGTAATTGTAGCAGAAAGCTCCATTGAGTATGATCTTACAAGTGATTTAAAGACCTTTTCAGTCCAATAAAGTGTCAAAATTGTACATAGTAAAGACAAGAATAAATATTTAAAAATTTAAAATATACTACATATGAAACCTTTAAATATGTATTAAATACATTGTTATATGTATATTTAAAGGTTTCATGTAAACCCTTAAATCAGGAAGAAAGGCCTAATGACTTACTTCTGAAAGTCAGCCAATGAAAGCCTGATGGATCACAATGCTTGATCTGCAACTAATCATAGGGATGGTGCAGTATGGGGCATTTCTTTCTGCTGTATGTGGATTCACTATGAATTAGGGACCAATTTGATGGCAGCTGACAGCAACAACATAACTTTAAATATAAACCTATAAACATTAAAAATACATACATACATATTATGCAATGCCATCCTTCATCTTCAGAGAAGACACGATGGAACATTGTTTTTCTTGTACAGATGGGACTGAAAGATGATTACAAATGAAAGAAAAAACTACTCCAGAACCTTCCTCTTCAGCTCTTGAATTTAATTTAGCTGTCTCATCTTCTGATTTGCTACATACAAGCCATAGTATTCCTTACATTTGGCTGCATCTCTGTGGTTTTATAAAGCACTCATAAGTTGTCTCATTTAATACTTACAGCACCACTTAGAAAGGAGAATTATCTTTATTGAACAAAGGAGGAAATGAATGATGAAGTACTATATGACTGACCATACATCATATGACTGGGACTTAAAGCCAGATTTTTGTGTAAAAATATAGTCCTCTGAAAACATAACAGTAAAATATATATATAAATCATATATAAACAAAATACAAATCATGTATAGCTTGTTAAGTCAAAAGTTTTACTGATGCTGAAAGGAGGCAGCATTAATACGAGAAAAGTATATGTCATTGTTTGGATAATGTTCTTTCCGTAGATAAATACCAGTCGGGGTAAAAGAGATTCAGGGTAGAGGGAAATTCCACCAGAAAGCGTGATACCATTTCCCAGAGAAGCCAAATGGATGAGAAGCCTTCTACCAGGAAAGGTAACACCATCTCTTTTGTTTGCAGGCTACATCCTGGAAAGGTCACAGCTCTTTTCAACGTTCACTACACATCCTCACTCTCCTTGGCTCCCTTTTTCATTGTGCAACTCTCCCCCAGTGCAACAGTAGACTTAGCTCAAGCCCTTGACACTGGCATATTATAGTTGCCTGTTGGCTTTTCCTTAGGGAGCCACACCAATTTAACTATCAGAAATTAAGTGATCAATAAATAAGCCCTGGAATCTAAAGAATGGAATGAGTCTTGAAAACATCATTTTAAACAGACTCCCAAACAATGTGTGAATCCCTGCTATAGTATATTTGCTAAGTGGCTATTTCCTCTAAGTTTGGAAACCTCTGGTAACATGGAAATAACTTCTTTTGCAGGTAGCCAATCTTATCTTTGGGCATATTTGACCATTAAAAATTTATTTATTCCATTATATTTTTAACTGCTTCTTTATGGGTCCTCCTTTTGTTTTTCTTTGGTCCCAGTTCTTCAAATATACATAATAAATGAAATCCTGGATTCAGCTCTATCCATATTGGTCCCCTATACTACTTTGTGAGAACTTTTGTTTTTCGCTCTTTGCTATTGCAATATTACTCCTTCAGCATCATGCCAGCTACTAACAGTAAAAATGATCCCCCATATTCACTAAAAAAGCAAGCAAACAAACAAAGCACAAGTGACCACATGTGAAAGCAGCATATTGTGACACACAACTAGGATATTTCCAAATGGACACACACAAAGGAGTTAGTGAAAAGTGCTTTTCTAAAATACTCTCAGCTATTTGGTAGCATAGTGCCTAAGGCACTTGACTGCTAACCGGAAGGCTGGCGGTTCAAACCCACCAGCCACTCCTGGGAAGGAAGGTCGGGCAATCTACTTCCGTAGTGATACTGCCTCTGAAACCCAAGGAGGGGTCACTATGAGTCGGGTCCGACTAGATGACACATAACAACAATAAATTAAGAGAATCCCTGGATGTGTGATTAGCTTAATTGAAAGGAATCTAAGTATAAAATTTCAGACTTTATGATAAATGAATGTGCATAATGAATAGGACCATTGACTTGCAACTGAGATGCTTGGGTTTTGTGATTGACTCTATCCCCATATTCCCCATTCACTTTAATTTGGAGTAATGTGACCTACATACCTTGCATGTAGGTTTTTCTCTATCATCTGCTTTCAATATTTCCGAAAGAAGGCTATATTTACCCTCCTTAATTGTAAGATCCAAGATTCATCATTTTGAAGCCAACAGAAGAAATGTGATATGGGAAGTTTGTAGCCATTTTGGTGAAAAAAGACCATGGGACTGTGTGAGGTCATTTGATGTTCTTTTAGATTTGGCTGTGGGACAAATGGAAAGGAATGGTTCTCTCTCAAGATATTCATTGCATATTCCTTGTTCTCTAGGTCCAGGTTTCTGTTCATTACGCTATGGGCTGGCTCTCATCATGCACTTCTCAAACTTCACCATGATAACCCAGCGTGTAAGTCTGAGCATAGCAATTATCGCCATGGTGAACAGCACTGAGCAACACAATATATCTAATATCTCCACAGAGGGAGCTCTTGCAGATACGCTCAGTAACCCCAGCAGATCCATCAAGGAATTTGACACAGAGGTAAGTTTGATGGCAGAAGGTGGCTTTACATAGAAAAGGAAAACCCATTTTGTAAAGAAAACTCATCTTGTCTGCAGAGCATTTTTAATGACGAACTAAAAAGAAGTGGATTTATTTTTCTGTGAGAGAGACATTGTATCTGTGATAAATAAAAAAATAGTCTTTCTTTGAGATTGTAAGGGACTGTAGGAAAACATCTAAAAAATTCTGAAATGGACCAAACAGATTACTGGATGTCTTCAATAGAAAGCTAGACATTGTCTAAGCATATCCTTCTAGGTTGTCTGATTTTGTGGCAGACCCTGTGCCTTTATAATATAACCTTGAGTTATTTTATTATAATTCTGTAAATTATATATAACTGTTGTTGTTGTTGTTATGTGCCGTCGAGTCAAACCCGACTCATAGCGACCCCTCCTTGGGTTTCCGAGGCAGTATCACTACGGAAGTAGGATTGCCCAACCTTCCTTCCGAGGAGTGGCTGGTGGGTTTGAACCGCCAGCCGTCTGGTTAGCAGGCAAGTGTCTTAGCCACTATGCTACCAGAGCTCCCATATGTATAACTGATAACAGTGCAAATAAGTCTCATTAATAACCAGGCAGATTAACTTTGTCCTCTATAAAATAAATTGATATCCCACAACACACACACACACACACACAGAGTCATTTTTACTATTTAAAATCCATTTCAGCATTACTTACTGCTTTTATGTGCCTGATGCTTTGAATTTTTCTTTGAACTCATTGTAACATCTTAGTGGTTTCCTCATTCATCAATGAATTTAATAAAATCTTTAATGTGTTCATTTTATATTTGTATGAGAAATAATTATCTTTCAAATAGATACCCTTTAAACTATAATTCATTGTACATTTCCAATGTTATCTACATAATTTATGTTTTTATTATATTTGATCCAGCTCATTTATAATGAGCCCCTTATCTCCAGTTATTCAAGCATCATGTAGTCTACATATCCTACAAGAATCTGGAATATCTTCTAGTTACCAAACTCCTCTTAGAAAATGCTCCTCCTGAATTTGGCCCCACTTACTAGTCATATTGGTTCTCAGTGGCCCAAGGAGAGTATTTTCTCTGGGCAGAAAGAGTCCCTGTTAATTTCTGATCAGTTGGTAGTATTTCAAATGCTGAAAGTCCACTTTTGCTATTTTCTCCAATGAAAATTAATTTTTCTTTTCTTTCTTTCTTTTTAACTCACATTGTAGTCATTATTGAAGGGATAGTTGAAATAGAGCTTCCTTCCTGGAATCTTCCCAAATTGTTCTCTCTTCTCAAAGTCCTTATTTTATTCATGTTCATCCTACAACCTTCATTATGACATGAATCATATACCTTGCATTATTTATAGTTACTGTAAGTGGATAAAATAGTTCATATTTTATATTCTTGGCTTTCTACTTTAACTTCCAGCATGATACCATATATCTAGTGGGCTATCAAAAACTATTTATTGAGTTATGGCAGAAGAATGTGATCTTACTCATTTGCAAGACATATTATAGGAAGTCAGTTCTGCCAGGACAAATCAGAATTCCCAAATGTGATTTTTTTTTTTTTTAATTAAGGACTGATTTTAGTAAGAGTTCAGTAAAGTTGTGTTTTCTTTATTCTTTATAATGAGAGTCAACATGTCACCTAACTTTTGCCAGAAGGAGAAATAGTTAAAGGAAGCTTTTATAGATGAATAATCTCTCAGTACCTCCTTCTATTTGCTTCTTCCTATTATCCATCCATGTAATCATTTTAGTTATCTGTTTTCTTCTTCATTTACTCTGTTTTTATCTCCCTCTGAGAGATGAAAATTATAGGTATAACTGATTATTTTTAAAATGTGTGATATTTAAGTTAGGTTAACAAAATAAAGAACAAAAATAGGTATTTTATAATAGGGTCCTATCAATCCCCAGCAACTCCTGGCTGTATAGTGGATTTTCATCAAAGAAATTCTTGGTCAAGAAATGTTTCTCTTTTTTCCCAGGCCTCTGTATATGAATGGAGTCCAGAAACTCAGGGTATCATCTTTAGCTCCATCAACTATGGAATAATATTGACTCTGATCCCAAGTGGATATTTAGCAGGAATATTTGGAGCAAAACACATGCTTGGTGCTGGTTTGCTGATCTCTTCCGTTCTCACCCTCTTTACACCATTGGCTGCCAACTTTGGAGTGATTTTGGTTATTGTGATTCGGGCAGTCCAGGGCATGGCCCAGGTATCCAGAAATATTTTTCATTCTGAGTATACTACAGATTCCTGAATTCTACTAGAGATCAAAGTTCTTAATAACTTTCATTCCAGGGAATGGCATGGACGGGTCAATTTACAATTTGGGCAAAATGGGCTCCCCCACTGGAACGAAGCAAGCTCACTAGCATTGCGGGATCAGGTAACGATGCACACATGGATCACAGCTTTGTAATCTGCTTCGCACCACCAGAGCTCCAAGGGAAGAGGGAGAAAAACGTGACCAAAAAATTAAACACTGTAAGACAGTCACATAACAAATAAGAAAGGTACATCTGTGCTGTTAGCCATGGAAGTTCACAAGCAGGAAACACCACACTTTGAGGCCACCCTGTGACCTAGTATAGTCAGAATAGTCTTGTAAGAAATAGTTTAGAGCTCTAAGTTTTGTATAAACAGTAAAAGGTCAGGTAAGCTGTACAAACACCATTTTAGTAAAGATGTCCATATGAGAATGAAGACTATGAGAATTCAGAGTGGTAAGGAAAAAAATCTGTTTAGAAAGTAGAGTTTTAAGAGTCAGTATTATTCTAACTTTTTGATATTCTGAGCTCTTTACTATTCTAAAGTAATCTTCACAACAGGCTTCTGATGTAGGTACTCTTTTTTAACTCTCATTTTACAGAGGAGAGAAGTAAGGTATGCAGAGTCCATGCTAGACTGCCTTTCCATAGTTTGAGATTGTACTAGGGACTCCACAACTTTATCATCTCTGATTTCACCAACTGCTAGCCCTGAGAGTATAGACTTGAGGAACAGAACTGAGATTCCATCAAGCTTCTCATTCCACGTTTAATACACGGCCATGTCCTATGGATTTTTACCTCATAGCAGCCTTCCTGCTTGCCAGCTTCCTTCCATGTCAGTTGTAACCACCTCTTCCTATTTCACTCCTGATTTCACTCCTTCAGCTTTGTTTCCTCCAACCTCTATTCCCATCAAAGTCAAGTTATCTTTCTAAAGCACAGGTAGGGCATTTTTTCTCACTTGCTTGAGAACTTTAATGTGTTTCTCCATGATTGCTCAATAAAAAATGACTTCTTTACTGCATGGATACAAAGATGCTTCTCCATCTGGCCCCAACCTTTTCCACTCAACAACTCTTTATAAGCAAGGCTCCAATCACACAAGCCATGTGTTGCTTCTCTAACCCCCACATCTGCACTTAAGTTTTCTGACTGTACTTCTACTGGCTCATATCACTGGAAAGTCCTCTGCTCCCAGCTCCTCTTGCCAAAATTGTGATCCTATAGCATATTACAGCTTTATTATCATACTTATATTCTAAATCAGTTTTGTTTCTTCTTTTTTTTTTCCAAATCATAGGTTGGGACCCATTGTTGTTGTTGTTATGTGCTGTCAAGTCAATCCGATTAATAGCGACCCCTCCTTGGGTTTCCGAGGCTGTTTCTTGCAGAAGTAGATTGCCCAACCTTCCTTCCTAGGAGTGGCTGGTGGGTTTGAACCACCAGCCTCCTGGTTAGCAGTCAAGTGCCTTAGGTATTACACTACTAGAGCTCCCTCCCCTTAGTGGGTCATAAAATCAATTTTGTGGGTCAAAATCAGTATTTAAAAAATGAAAGTCAATAGAATAGAATAGACTGTTAGCATGCATTGCATATTGGTAAGGGTAAGTATTGTTTCATGAAACTTTTGTTTGAGGCATGTGTGTATATGTATGGTTTGTATACAAATGTTTGTGTGTATTTGTGTATGTGTGTCATATGTTGCCATGTAAAATGCATTTCTTACTGTGGGTTTCTGTGTGTTCTTAACTTAAGGTCTACATTGTATTATGCTTATCATAGTGAAATTGGTCACACTTTTCCCGGAATGACAACTCCTTGAGGGCAATGATTGTATCTTATTACTTTCTATAAGTCTTTCTTTCCTTCCCCCAAACTCCTGTTGCACCCTTCCTGAATGTAATTCTAATCATAAGGGAATTTTTTTTTTTTAAATTGTTATTTGGGTGAAGGTTTACAGAGCAAATTCACTTTCTATACAGCAGTTCACATACACTTTGTCTCATGACATTGACTACAATTTACCCCAAAGCAACAGCTCCCCTTCCACTTCCTCCCGATAGTTACCTCTGCCCTGCATCCATCCCTCCATACACTCCTGCCCCCTGAACTGTCTCCCTATGCCTGAGCAGCCCCTCTTTCTCCCGTGATTGTTCTTTCCAAAGAGTGTATCTACCTCAGGTACATGTTCAACTCATATGCCTGTCTTTTGTTTGGCTGGACGCCACAAGTGTGGGTTCAATTCCGGACGTGAAGGGCAGCTAGGAGTCATAGTTCAGTGGTTCCACCAGGCTCTATCAGACTGGCAAACCTGGTCATAATCATTAGGGAATTCTAATCAGAAAGATTATCATTGCAGAGAAAGATCCCTGGATGGTGTAAATGCATTGCCTTTGACTACTAACCTAAATATAGACTGTTTGAACCCATCTATTGATGACATACAAGAAAGGACAAGTAATCTGTTTCCATAAAGATGACAGCTGAGAAAACTCTGTGGAGCAGTTGTACTCTGCAACACATGGAGTTGCTATGAGTTGGAATTAACTTGATGGCAATGGGTTTGATTTTTTTTTTTTTTTTTTTAGTTATTGCAGAGACTATCTGTGACAAACTAAGTGATTTGGATTTGGTCACATAGGTGTGAAGGAATCACTGAAGAGTCAAGAACTTATTATTTATTAATTCCAATAGCTTTATATGGCTGTATTGGGGAAGAACTTGTGAGTAGGAAGAAAATTCTCATCACCCAGTCATTCTAAGTGTGCAACTTCACAGTTGGGACAATATCCAGGAAAGCCATTCAGTTTCAGATTTGGTGTTGACATATATATATTTTTTCCCCTCTCGCTTCTCCTCAGGGGTAGCATTTGGATCCTTCATCATTCTCAGTGTGGGGGGACTAATTTGCCAGGCCTTAGGCTGGCCTTTTATCTTCTATGTCTTCGGTGAGTCATTTTATCTTAAATTCTCATACTTCCATTTCCCAGGCATCCATTTGGATATCTATTCTTCCCATATTCGAGAAAATGTCCTTTGTTAAATGGAAGATGATGAAGAAAGTTGAGGATTAAGAGGTTTCTTATTCTAGTCCGTACAACTTGATTTAAAATTATTGTGGTGGTTCTGGGCAGCACTGTATTCTGGGCCCAGCGTGGAGATGATGCCTATACATAGAGTTCTGACTTCTGATAAATCATGAATGCAGGTTTACTTCCTGCTCCAAGCATCTGAAGAACCTCTATCACTACATTTGAAATGCTTGATTAGTCACTGTAAGCAGTTAAGATATCAAAGTTGGTGAAGCACACATTCAATGTCTTTTCATATTTCATTATACATATTATCTCTGCCCAAAGTACCTTAGTCTTCTTCTTTACTTGGTGAATCATGCAATGCTCACTGGGACTTCCCAGATCTCATCCCAGCAAATTCTTCCTCTATGCTTCCTGTGGGGAGCTCTGGTAGCATATTGGCTAAGGCACTTGACTGCTAACCAGAAGGCTGGCGGTGCAAACCCACCAGCCGCTCCTTGGAAGGAAGGTTGGGCAATCCTACTTCCGTAGTGATACTGCCTCAGAAACCCAAGGAGGGGTCGCTATGAGTCAGGGCTGACTCGATGGCACATAACAACAACAACAACAACATGCTTCCTGTGACTTCTTCACTAGAACACATTGGTGTGTGATTATTTACCCCCTCCCCCAATTAGATTGTCAAGTGTTTGAGGCAAGGAATCTATTTTATAATGTTTGTTAAATCACTTTGGTGCCTATCAGAGTGCCTGATTCTAAGCTTTATAAATAAAAGAATGGATGGACGCAGTAAGGAGAGAGAATTCAAAGAACATTAATCCCTAGAGCCTTTTAACATAGACTTCTTCAAATAACAAAGCCTAGCAATGAGACAAGTCTCCATTGATTATTTTATTGTTATAGCCAGATGATGTCATAAATATGGTTCTGGCTTGCATAGCTTTATCATCAATGATCATTTGGTCCATACTATATAATAATCATGCTCATGCTATTTCCAGAGGGTTCTACTTTGACAAATGAATACTCCATACTTGAGAGGTGGTACCTCAAAAAGTTTAATGGTAAAAGGGAGTTTACTGAAGAGTTGAAAGGAGGAAGTGGGAAAATGGATGTCCTCATGGTGGAGATAGCATGAATTGACATGTATGTTTGTGAGGGCAGGCATGCCACTTCAGGGGAAACCTCTCCTCCCAGAACATAAATACACCTGAACACTAATTGGGTCCCTGTTTCCCAGGTAGCATTGGCTGTGTCTGCTGTCTCCTGTGGTTCACAGTGATTTACGATGACCCCATGCATCACCCATGCATTAGCATAAGGGAAAAGGAACACATCATGTCCTCATTAGCTCAACAGGTACATTGTACCCCTTCTCCCTGTGAACTGTGCCGAGATCACTGAGGAAGGTTGTGGGTGCCCAGGAGAGATGGCCTCTGTCCTGTCCTAATGCTCATGTTGTTCTATATTTCTTTTCAGCCCAGTTCTCCTAGACGATCTGTCCCAATAAAGGCTATGGTCAGATGCCTGCCACTTTGGGCCATTTTCACAGGTTTTTTCAGCCATTTCTGGTTATGCACCATAATCATAACGTACCTACCAACGTACATCAGTTCTATGCTCCACGTTAACATTAGAGATGTGAGTATAACTTTCTATACTTCTATGAAAATGAGGATAATGGCAGTAAGGAGGCATAGTTTTATGCTGCCCACTATATTCTGGCCACTGTTTTCTGTGCTTTGCATATAACCACTCACTTAGTCCTTTCATGACCTGTGGGACACAGATTGCCCAATAATATTTTTAGCATCTCAGATTTCTTGGGAAGCTGCTTTAGCCATTGTAGTATGTACTACCATCTGCCAGGGACCTGTATAACTCTGTGAATCTGAAGAAATAGGCCTCTCCCCACCTATCCTACCACCAGAGTCCACTCAGGGCATATATGTTTCATATATTTCTATTGGGAGCTCTGGTAGTGTAGTGCCTAAAGGCACTTGACTGCTAACCAGAAGGCTGGCCGTTCAAACCCACCAGCCACTCCTCGGAAGGAAGGTTGGGCAATCTACTTCCGTAGTGATACTGCCTCAGAAACCCAAGGAGGGGTGGCTATGAGTCGGGTCCGACTCTACGGCACATAACAACAACAACAACAAATATTTCTATTAAAATCCATATTACCTCAAAAAAATTTTCCACTTGATTTCAGCATGCCTACCTACCATTACTGAAACATGATATCAACAAAAAAATTCAAAGCAGAAAATGATTTGGTTGTGAAAGTGTTAACCCTCACAGTGACCTCAAGAGAGGCATTGTGATGATTTCAATTGCACAGGTGTAGTATTGGGGACAGATAGAGGTAAGATGATTTGACCTTCATTACAGAGTTATTAAGTGGTAGAACTGCTGCAGCCTCTGTGTTCTTGACTGTAATGCTACACTGCCATATCTGATTCTTGTCAGTTTCCCTTAGAAATAAATATTGCTTTTCCTTGGGGACGCAGTGTGATTCAGGTGCTGGCTCTCTTACCTGAGACAATATTCTTCTAGTGTGGCAAATGGTATTAATTCCCTAAAATGACTCAAAATATTAGGGGCAGGCTAATGTTTGGTGTGTGTAACTGATAAATTTTGGTGCTATAGTCACCTCTGTAATTATTCACTGTCTCATTTTGCTTCCTTCAGAGTGGGGTTCTATCTTCCCTGCCTTTTATTGCTGCTTCAAGCTGTACGATTCTAGGAGGTCAGTTGGCAGATTTCCTTCTGTCCAGGAATCTTCGATTAATCACTGTGCGAAAACTCTTTTCGTCTCTAGGTAAGGATAGGCCCATGGGTCCAGTTAACCAATCCCTTTTTCCATGAGTGACCTAACAGGGTTCCTGATGGCATATCCTCATTGCCCAGGCCTCCTCCTTCCATCACTGTGTGCTATGGCCCTACCATTTGTGGCTTCCAGTTACATGACAACCATTATTTTGCTGATACTTATTCCTGGGACCAGCAACCTGTGTGACTCAGGGTTTATCATCAACACCTTAGATATTGCCCCCAGGTAAGCATTTTACCTATGTTTTCTTCCCCCAGGCTTTTCCAGGCTCTTCTTCTTCTTGCAATCTCTCCCTGTTATTGACATTCATTAAATGACTGTAGACTGTGGAATAACTAGAAATGTCAGTATGTGGTCATAACCTAAGGCATTTTAAGAACAACTGTTCCAAATCTTGGCTAGTAATTATTTAGATGAAAAGATTCCCAAGCCTCTACACCAGAGATTGGACTGTGTGTTCTGAGAAAAAGCCCACATATATGTGTTTTGGAAAAGCTTCCAGAGTATTGATAATATTAACTAGTGCATATGTATGCACTTGCCATGATTGAACCAAACCTTGTTCTAAAGACTTCTCGTATATCAATGCATTTAATCCTTACACCTCCAAGAGGTAGACCTTATTGTTATAGGAGAGAAGGCTGAGACACCAGAAGGTTAATTTGCTTGCTTAGGTGGCACAGGGCAAAGCCAGGATTTGGACTCAAGCAGTTTGACTCCAGAGTCTGTGCCTTATCCACTGTGCAAACTGCCTCCCCTGCTGAGCAGCCAGAGTGGGGCCTTTGGCTTCCAGAAAGACTGACTTGTTCCCTGATCGTTGACTCAAAGGATAGATAGATGATTTCAGGTCTGGCAAATAGACATTGCCTTGAACATCTTTAAGTGAATGAAAAACTGCATAGGTAAAATGACTGTTATCAGAGCCAATCTGCATTAGTCTTGAATTACTGCAGACACCATGCAACTACTTTTTTTCTATATAAAATCATCTCTCCACAGATACTCAAGTTTTCTTATGGGAATCTCAAGGGGATTTGGGCTCATCGCTGGAATTATCTCTTCCACTGCCACTGGATTCCTTATCAGTCAGGTTGGGTCCAGTTTTATGAATATCTACAAGTTTTAGGCACTGAGGATGCATTGTAGGGGCTCTGCTCCCAAGGATTGTGTGGAACACAAACATAAACTTGGATGCAACACAATTATTTTATTCACAGGGGCATCTCAGATTCTAGTAGGTCAAGTTTCTGAAGTAGAGAAAAATATAAGCTGAATTTTCAAAAAATGAACAGATACTAGATTGATGAAAATGAACAATTCAGGTAGAGAAGATAACATGTGTGACAACCTAGAGGTACAAACACATGAAACAGTTCTTAGTTATGACCACAGTGAATCATACATGTTCAGGAAGGAATGGTATGAGATGAAGCCAGAAAGGCAGATAGGGAAGGTAGTGAAGAATCTGCTCAGATTAATTCTAACTTAAAAAACAAAAAAAGGAAACACAAAGCAAAGCCAGTTTAAAGGGAGTTAAAGTCATGAGTGAAAAAGGAATGAAAATGAATCACTGCAGGTAGTAGCATGGAGCATACGATGTACTCAGAAGTCTGGGCTGGTGGAAAAGATGAAAGACAGAACCAGGCTGGGATGAAAGGCTTGAGACTCAACGTACAAGGAAAAGTTTCATTTTTAATATATTTCTGTGTGATCTAAGGAGCCCTGGTGGTTTAGTGGTTAAGCATATGGCTGCTAACCAAAAGTCAGCAGTTCAAACCTACCAGCTGCTCCATGGGAGAAAGATATGCCAGTATCCTTCCATGAAGATCACAGCCTTGGAAATTCTATGAGGCAGTTCTACTCTGTCCTACAGGACTGCTATGAGTAGGAATCCACTCAACAGCAGTAGCTTCTGTGTGATCTAGCTTCAGAGTTAATTTTTGATTGAATTCCTAGGAATCCACTATAATGATAATGCTGAAACTAGGGCCTGGTGAGGAGGATAACGCAGGTGGACGAATCATAGCTCATGTTATATTGAGGTGTTCATGTAAGGGGTTGTTGTGATTGATGCTAAAACAAAGCCAAAATGAAACAAAGTAAGAGCAAATACACATGTGAGAACTTAAAGATGCCATTATAGGTAGAATTTTATATGCATAATACAATGTTTTCATGAATATTGAGATCTAAATTTCCAGAAAAACAATAATATAAATTAAATTGTGTGGGTTTAAAGAAAAATCTATCTCAATCCAGAGCCCACTGTGGAGTTTAGGGTCATTTTGTTTCCCACAGTTTCATAAAACCATCTTTGATGACTTTAGATGTTAAATGACTACTGTATAGTGTTCTTTCTATTCTAGGTGGTCAGTATTGCACACAATGGAGGAAATTGCAAACTGTCAGAGAGGGAACTAGTAAGAAAGAAAATGATTCTATGTTTTTTGTGTGTCTAGAATTCTGAGTCGGGATGGAGGAATGTCTTTTTCCTGTCAGCTGCTGTCAACATGTTTGGCCTGGTCTTTTACCTCACATTTGGACAAGCCAAAATCCAGGACTGGGCCAAAGAGGAGAACCTCACTCGCCTCTGAGAGTACCACATTATAAACTGATGCGCAGTACTGATCATTAATGTGTCAACATTTTTTTGTACTACTGTAATTACCATTTTTCTCACATACTTGGCCATAGACTCAGCAGTTCTTAACTCTGGTTTTGTGTTAAATCTCACTAGGGGCATCTCTGAAACATACTGATACATAGTCCCACTCCAGGGATTCTGATTGAATTTGTTTGAGGTGGGATCCAGATAACACTGATTTTCAGATATTCCCCAGGGGTTACTAATGTGCAGCCAAGGTTGAGAACTACTGGACAGACTTGAAAAGTCAATTCTTCTTGCCTTTGAATTTTCCTCTTAAGAAAGTATTAGATGAACACAAATCTATGTGAACATAATCATGGGGGTGGTTATGGACACAGAGAAGGCCTATTGTGAATTATAGCCACATGTTACTGAGGTCAGAACAAAATTTTAAG